AGGATGCTCCAACAGAAAGACATTAGTTGTTGAAAGCCTGACAGGAAATATGCTAGCTCCCTTCCCTCCCTCCTTCCCTCCCCCCACACACCTCTCACTTTCTCTCTCTCTCTCTCTCTCTCTCTCTCTCTCTCTCTCTCTGTGTGTGTGTGTGAGAGAGAGAGAGAGAGAGAGAGAGAGAGAGAGAGAGAGAGAGAGAGAGAGAGCACATGCTCATGTATGCATTGTCTATGTACTGTGGCAGGGGTGGTATGCAAGTGTGCACATGCGTGAAGGCCAGGCTTTAGGTCTCTTCCTCCAGTCCTCTTCTGCTTTTATTTTTTGAGTCTTCTATGGGACCTGAAGTTTCTGTGTCCCACTAGATTCACTTCCAGCTTGCTAAGGGATCTTTTAGTCTCTTCCTTCCCAATGAATGCTGTATCTTGTTTTCATTTCGATGCTGGGTGTCTTAGTTAAGGTTTACTATTGCTGTGAAGAGACACCACGGCCACAGCAACTCTTATAAAGAAAACATTTGATTGAGGTGGCTCAATTACTGTTTCAGAGGTTCAGTCAATTTATTTATGATCATGCAGGGAGCATGACCCAGTGTAGTCAGAGGTGGTGCTGGAGGCGAGACTACTAATCTTGCAGGCAACAGGAAATCAACTGACTGCCACACCGAGTGAAGCTTGAGAAAAAGACCTCAAAGCTTGCCCCACAGTGATACACTTCCAACAGAAGGTGTGGCCCAGTGTGGCCCAGATTAAAGGTTTGCCCTCCAGTTTCAAGGTCTGGATTAAAGACATGTGTCATCGAGCTTCCTGCAACAAGGCCACATCTTCTAATAGTGCCAATCCCTCTGAGTTTATGGAGGCCAAATACATTCAAACTACCATACTGGGTATCAGAATTCCTGCCATGTTCCCAGACCAGGAGCTTACTGTGTTGTCTTTTCTTCCTGTGAGTAGGCTGAGGAACATCTTGGTTGTTTTGTGTTGCTAAACCATATATCAACAGCTGGAGAAGATTTAAAAAGAGATTTATTCTGCTTATGGTTCTGTAAATCTAAGTAAGACCAGGTGAAGGCCCTCTTGTACAGTCTCAAGTGTGTGGTACCACAGAGCATGAAGAAGCAGGGGTCTGTCTCCTTCCAAAGCCACAAATGGTCATCACAGGGGCTCCACTCTGGTGGCCGTTACCCCTCTTAGGTACTTCTCTATGTCTCTTACTCCAAACACCCAAGTCTGAACACTGGTTGCAGCTGTTGTGGGGTGTTTTGCTGCAGAATTCAGGAGAATGAATCCAAGATGCCCTGGCCAGTGAGGCCAAGAGTGCATCAGGCTCCGCTTTGGGGTACAACAGCTCCTTAGCCTGAGCAATCCCTGTGATTGCTGGCCTCTTATTCCTCGTGTACTCACTGGCCTTGTAACCTTTTCACTCCTTTCCTGCCAGGCCATAGGTATTCAAATGGGTCAACTCTTTCCTATTTTGTCATCACTGTTGCTCGACAATCTCTCTCGGACTCTAACTAAAAGTACCCAATATGACCCACGGCACAGCTTAAAACGCTTTCTTTGGAAATCTCCTACGGCAAAGAACTCAGTGAATTGCTTTCTAGTTCAGTCTTCTACAAGCCTCAGGGCACAGGTCCGATCTCCAAGTTACTGTCTATGCTGTAACAGGGATGATGTTGTAACAAGGGTGAGGATGACCTTTCTTCCAGCTCCCAGGAAGGCTCTTCCTTTCTGTCTGAGAGAAGTTCCTTACTCTCATCTTCTGAGGCCTCACCAAGAACATTCTTGAAGATCACTTAGAATAACAGTTTTTGACCCATGGGTCACAACCCCTTTCGGGGGAGGGTGGAAGGACCCTTTCACAGGGATCACATATCGTATATCCAGAAGATTAGATATAATTAGATCTAATCCAGAAGATTAGATATTTACATTACATATTACATTAATGTAAGGTAATATTACATATTACATTAGATATTTACATTGCAATTCATAACAGTCACAGAATTACAGTTAGGAAGTAGCAACAAAATTCATGGTTGGGGGGGATCATCACAATCTGGGGAACTGTATTAAAAAGGTCGTGGCACTGGGCCGTGGTGGCACACCCCTTTAATCCCAGCACTTGGGAGGCAGAGGCAGGTGGATCTCTGTGAGTTCGAGACCAGCCTGGTATATAAGAGTTAGTTCCAGGACAGCCTCCAGAGCCACAGAGAAACCCTGTCTCGGAAAATAAATAAATAAATAAATAAATAAATAAATAAATAAATAAATACAACAACAAAAAGTCGTGGAACTGGGAAGGTTGAGAACCACTGCCTGAAAACTTACTAGGAGTTTGTTCCTTCAAATTCCTTCCAGTCTCAATCTACCACTCCCTTGTTGCCCGGTACTTGCTACCAGCAATCCCCTCCACACTTGGTTGTCTGAGTCTGTTTGCTGTAACTATGACAGGCCACACACTGGGAGATTTAAAGGATTGAGTTGGTTTCATTGATAAAGCAGCCTAAGGCTAAGGGAGAACACCTGCCAGTAGTCTTAGGCCTAGGGAGGGCCTGAGGCAGGGCACTGCAAGGCAAGAAACAGGGAGTACACCTGTGTCTCTCCTCTGGCCACCCCCTCTTCTAAAGCTACTGCATCCCACCAAGGAGTTCTACTCTAATTCTACTGGTCTCCCCCAAGTTTCTACCTCTAAATGCTGCTTACCCAGTGGTGTAAATTCCTGTTCTCTTAATAGCATGCAAAGGGAATTAAACAACAACACCTTTGTCAGAGGACAAACCTTAGCAAGATGTATTTATCTTCCAAGATGGATAGAGCCATCAGTGAGTGACAAACACTTTGTTTCTGCACAGTGAATCCTGTGGTTAAAAAAGAAAATCATCACACAATTCAATGTGTATTTAAAATGTATTTGAAGAACTAGTTGAAACTAAGTGGCAGATGTTAACTTAGGACTAAAGAAATAAAATGGAGCCTGGAAGGCCAAGTGGAACTTCCTCACACCTAGGGAGATGATCAAGTGTTTCAGGAAACAGGCAAGCCCAGGAAATGTGCTCCAGCAGGAAGGCAGCACTTAGCCTTTCAGGACTCTGTCATGGTGTGCTGTTTTGCCAGAATGTAGTAGAGTGATAGGATGCTGGCCTCTTCTCTGCTAAGGCAATTTGGAATAAAATAAATACAAACAAACCCACCCAGCTGGAAAATGAAATTATTGTAAGATAAATCTGTATGGGTCAGAAGTGAGAACTGGATAGTTGCCAGGGTCTATATCCATTTCCCCAGTCTCTAATGGATGACATGATGTGCTACACAAGGCACAGGGATCCCTTTGGCATCTACTCACACCCCCTGCACTAACTGCCACACAATGCCCCCACCCCCACCATCAGACCATTGAAGCCATCCACAGGAATCCATCTCATGATGGAAGGATGAAATAGCGAAAGTCAGGTCCCACTGAAAGTGAGACCTGTATCTAGACAGAGATTTCCTTACCGTATTGACAGCCTGCTAGATCACCTTGCAGCAGAAGCTGGAGCCAACACAATGGCCATATGACAGGTAGGGCCACGCCCTGACCAGGGCTGCTTGGTTATGCATACCTGCTTTCTACCTCAACTTAAACCCATGCCATGATTCTGAAGATGGGCTTGGGGTAATGGCTGGGGGTGGGGTAGTCAGTGGATCTCTTTTTCCTCCTGATGTGACTACGTTGGGTACATATTTTTCTGCTATTCACTATTAATTGTGTCCTTTAGTTGGCATGCGATGGATGGCTTGCTAGTTACCAGGGATTGGCTCTGACCCTAATTTTTTGTTGTTGTTGTTTTTGTTTTCGAGACAGGGTTTCTCTGTGTAGCTTTGGAGCCTATCCTGGCACACGCTCTGGAGACCAGGCTGGCCTTGAACTCATAGCGATCCGTCTGCCTCTGCCTCCCAAGTGCTGGGTGGCGGCCTGACCTTAAAATTTAAATATGTTCCTTTTATGCATTCTGTTCAGCATCCTCTGAGGAGACCCGGACCTTACCTTCTTTACACTCTGTGTACTTACACTCTGTGTACGGTGTGTCAGATCACAGGCCTGTCTTGTTTGGGTGCAAACAACAAGACATCCAGCCATCTCTGGGTATCTATCTGGTCTTTCAATGTCAATGAAGGTGGTTTGGAAGAGGGACAAGGTGTGTGGGGTTTGAGCATTACCAATTGCACTTTCCACCTCGAGAGTTAGGACAAGACCGCGGGGTCTGGATGCCCACTTAACACATGCAACACTACTGTGGACATCTCAGAAATTGTGACTTTGTAACCAGAAGATGACGAGCAGACCGACTCCTGCGAGGAGATACTTATGGCAACAAAGAAAAATTTCTGAGAGCGGTGGATACAATGTTAGGAGGTCAGCGGGAGTCCAGACCTTGTATTCAAGCCGCCTTTAAAGCCGAGTGAGACTTCGTCCCCTTCACCTCTCTAACATAAGCACGAAGGCCCAGGGATGAAACGTGGAATTCATCTCCTAGAAGGATGGGGCCAGTGGAGGCCAGCCCGGTAGGCGCTCGGCCCCGCCTGCCGCGAGGCACTCTGGGAATTGTAGTCCGTCCTCCGCTCCCAGGCTAGGGTCCTCCTTCGGAAGGCTGTGTCCTAAAGGCATCGCAGACCCCGCCCTCTGAGGGCTGAAGGGACTTAGGTGTCTACACAGGGCCTGTAGCGCTGCAGGCAGGCAAGAGAGGACGGACAACCCTCAGAGGCAGGACCTAGCTCTTGCTCCGCTCTCCAAGGACGCGCCCTAGAGCTTCGGCCTTGGCACG